TAGGAATGCACATATCTTCACAGAAACTGATATAAGATGTTACAGGTATGTATTTATATATACATATTAAAAATATATACAGTACACACGCATATATTATGTAAACAAAAACTTTTATTTTGGATGCGATTAATCGCCATTAATCATTTGACAGCACTAAAAATGATTAATGTAAATATGAACTGGAATATAATAAAGCATCATGATGAAACAATGTATTCCAGTTAGTGTTAAAAAATAATAATAACATAATTACTAACCTAAGTAAAATTGTTCTCTAGAGACACAATATCTTCTACCACTGTTTTAGCATATAGGGCTATTATTCTGTATTATTCTTATTACACTAGGCAGATATACAGAAATGAACATTTGGTTGTCACTATACTGAATTTAGTTGTAGCCAGGATACGGATGTTTTCATGCTTGGGATAGTTCACCTAAAAATAAAAATTCTGTCATCATTTACTCATCCTCCACTTGTTCCAAACCTTTCATTTGTTGAACACAGAAGAAGATATTTTCAAGAATGGTGGTAACCAAAGAGTTGACTTCGTTCCATAGTATTTTTTCCCATACTGTGTCAATTGTTTGGTTACCACCATTAAATTAATGAAACAAAAGAAGAAAAAAGTTATTCAGCTTTGGAATGACATAAGGGTGAGTAGGTAATGACGGATATTTCATTTTTGGCTGCACTATCCCTTCAAAGGAGCATCAGTTTAATAGCATACTGTGTGTAAGCTACCAGGACAATGTCTTTCCACAACTAAAAACGGTTGGATGTGACTTCACAATATAATAATAAACTCAGTTTATCGTCATGATGACTTGACAAGAAGAAACCATCACATTTGGACTGTCGTGGGAGTTTTGAGGAGTGAAGTGCGCTGAGCTCCAGCCGCAGAGTGGAGCAGTGTTTTATGTTGAGTCACTGGGAGAGGGAGAGAGAGAGAGAGAGGTCTCTCACTTAACAAACAAATCAGCAGCAGATCTGCGGGCATACACAAACACACGCAGGTTCTGTCCTTCCACCTGCCGCGGGAGACACTTTGATGGTCGCAGTAGGTTAAATTAACCGGATTACCGAGAACCCCGCTCTGCTTTATTTTAACGTGGACCTCCGACGATATCTATGCATTATTTAGACTGAAATAAGCAAAAAATGACGGAGCTGAGACGGCGAGGAGGAGGAGGAGACCCTGACAGCACTGAAAACATAAGTTACAAGGTAATTTATAGAGCACACGCTCATTCAGTCGGCTTTATTTCTCTCAGTCGACTGCGAATGACCTTCTAGCTAAGCAGCTAGCGCTTCAACCTGAGAAGATATTACACAAAAACAACTTGTTTAAGGCTATATTAGGATTTTATATGGCGGCTTTTGCGTTCGGGGACTGTCTCTTTAATATATTTCATCTTAAACTGTCGGTTGCCTCATGAAGTTGCTGAGCCAAACACACTGCAAAGCCACCGTGTCAGTGGCTGTGTCGCAAAACCTATTGAGCGGCCTACCTAGACAGCATTTTTGGTAGACGCGTCTGGAACGTTCTGAGTATTTTGACTGAGCATCGCTCTCATTTAGGGCCTGTTTACACCTGGTCATTTCATGCGTTTTCGCTGATCGGATATCTATCTGATTTGTTAAAACGTTTCCATTTACACTTGGCCACAAATGTGTCGTCGCAAAACAGTTTTAAATCCGGTGTTCAATTCCCGCGCTATATTTAAAGCTGTAGTCCTTAATTTTTTTTTGTTAAAAATGATCCGAAATCAATATTTGAGCAAGTACATAACCAGCCAGTGTTCAAAAATATCGCCTTACTATAGCCCAATTCACAACGGTTAGCTTATAATAATGTTTTCTAATTTGAGTGGTATGGGTAGGTTTTCGCGGGAAATTCGAGCATGGCACTGCGTCATTACGTAACGTCTGTAAACATAAAGAAGTTGTCCCGGCTACTAGGCTATAGCCTAGTATATAATGATACACATCCGATTTCGTTCTCAGCTGTTTACATTCATTTAAAACATAACCGACTGCGTTTACGAGAATGATCATCGAGACGGGTACTATTGACATAATTCTGTGTGTATGTGTATGTGTATTCAAACATAAGGAGGAGATGCGAAAGACGAATAAACTCGGTGTTCGCGCGCTGTCTGAAACGCGTCTGTGTGTGCGTGCGCCTTGCACGTGTGCGGCAGAACTGAAGAGACGCTGCGTGAGTTGCGGCTTGTGCGCGCGCTTCAGGTGTGAGTCAGACAGCAAGACCAGACGGCAAAGAGTTGTTTTCTGCAACTTATTGCACTTAACTCTTTAACGTCAAGCAATTCTCTGCTATATGCGTCGAACTAAAACTTTTACCTTTTGCAACGTTTTGATTTAAGTAGCCTATTATTAAAATGATTCAGATATCACAGCCCTTGCGATATGCATATTGCGATATTTCGATAATTTCGATATATCGTGCAGCCCTAGTTAATGCTAATGCGAGGGTGTTTCTAATGCAGAGTCTATGGGAGGGACGGTAAATTTGACATCGTTCTCTCTTCTGACTGCCGTTATCCGTCTCTTAATTTTTTCACTTTTATTGAAAGTCATGAAAACACTATCGTGGAGTTTTTCTTTTGCTATTTGAGCAAATGGGAATGCAAAAAATATATTTGTGGTACTCTCCCATTCACTGCTCTTCAAGTTAACCCAACTATGACGACTTCGGCTGCTGAGAAACCCGGAAATGTGAAAAAGGTCCATTGTGTGTTGACCGTCTGCGTTTTACTTTGTTTCATTCACGGCAGTTTGCGCTTCGGCTTGCTGGAGATACTCAGTTACTCGTCCGCGACGATGCGTGTTGCATTAGTGCAGTCATATCTGACTATAATGTCATATAGCCTATAACACGCTCTTGCACATTTATTATTTTAACATTTTGGGAGGAGTTAAATTTACATATGTGGTTTCAAAAACCAGATGCATTTACACTGGTCCAGTTTCGTCAGGAATGCGGCCCAGACCGCATATTATATATATTATATTGGGAAATATTTATTTAAGAGCTGAAAGATAAGTTTTGGGTCAGCAAGTGTATTATTAGTCATTTATCTGGAAGAAATGATTGAAGGAAGGTGCTTTAGTTCAAATTGTGAAAATGTTCAATGTCAGCATTTTGCTATCTGTAATCAATTCTTTTGTTTTTATGAATACTCGTCTAGAGTCTAGACACGTGTGCTTTGATTTTAGAATGTCTAACATCTAACAGAATCGGTTTACAAATCCTGTATGTGTATCTGATTGAACAGAGCCATTCCCTCTTCCCTGGAAATGATGTAGTTTTGTTGATAGCTGAGCATTGGCGTAGATCACATGTGACAACAAATCGCTTGGCCACAGTGTGGAAAAGTTGAGAGGGGAGTAACACAGCGGGCATACTGAAAATAGATCACTTGAACTCATGACTCAGCAATTACAAATGTTTTGGTCACAGATGAGGCTTTTGAAGGAGATCTGTGCATGCAGGCTGTCTTGTCTTTGCACTGTTGAACTGTGTTATGAGGACCATAGAGGTCCCCTTTTTTTCCCCTGGAAAAGTTCCCTACAAGTAAGTGTGGGAAAACTAGGGGACCGGCATTTGAGAGCAGAGCCAAGAGCATATTGGTTTACATAAACCAAATTGGTGGCATGATTAAGTAAAATAGTAATTTTATATTTTAAAAAGAAAGTTCATTTGAATATTTTTAAAATTAAATAGGCTAAATAATATCAATAATTAAACAATATAATAAACTTGTAAATAATAAAATATTTAATGACATTATTTAAAAATAAATACATACAATTATTATTTTACTTAAAAAATAATATTCAATAATATTCCAAAAAATCTTAAAGTGATGTTACCAAAACTGCTGACTCAAGCATATTCAGTGTTGATTATGCAGAAATACTTATGTTTATTCACAGATAATTCTGCAAGGGCATCTGCTTAATCCTTTTAATGGAAATAAATATTGGCAAATTTAGTCAAAGAAGCACTAAGGCTCTGATAGAACATTGTGTTTTTGTCCTGGAGACCGCTGACCTTATAAGACTAATGCTGATGTCTCACGGGCTGAGCTTTGACTGTCCATCTAGAGCCCCTCAGCCAGTTCTCTCAAGGTCAGTCTCTCCAACACTCATAATAACAAGCAGTATTTACAGCCCTGCACTCTCACTGATGATTGAGGTTATTTACAGAGCTCAGTCTTGTGGTTTTCAGTTCAAATCTTTTCTTTTCCTCTCATTGAGAGAAGCATCATTAGCCACAGTCTCTCTGGGCTTTTGCATGGTTCTCTGCTCAATGTACACCTCAGCAGTCTTTGGAGTTCAGTGGACCATCATAACCTCTGCGCAGCACGTCCTGCAGCCTGGCCTCAGCGATGGATTCGCTCTCTTCCCCTGGTCATGGCCTACTTCTGCAATTTACCACAGAAAGCTGGTTACTCAGCACATTACAATCACACAATTTCTGTGATTTATAATTACACAATTAGGTTTAGGCCTGGCAGTGTAGATGTTATGTGGACATTTTTTTTCAGTTAATTTGAGTCATTGATATATTTATTTTTAAATCTATGTTTGACAACACTAATTGCTAGGTGACCAAATAGTTTTGTGGGTAAAAACTGCTGCAGGTAATTTCTAATGACTTTTCCAAATTGGGAAATATTCCCAATGGTATTTCCCAAACACTACCCCAACTTCCATGGTTGGACAAAACTGGTAGTCCCACCGAAACTCGGAGATTGATTTGATTGGCTAACACATGGGCCATAGTCATTTCTCAGGACACATCTTTCAGAGTAATCTCTCTGGTAATGGGGACATTTTATGTGTTGTATCCTGCAGAACACTGGTGAGCAACTGTGCTGGTATTTTCAACAGTGTTTTCTCCCATAATGCAACAGTGGGCTATTTAGCACATAATACAGTAAGCAATACTGCGTTTGGAATTCTGCTGCATCCACTCTCCTCCATTCACTTTTGACATCAGCCATGAGTGTGTCCATTTTGGTATTTGCTGCAACACTACAAATTCCTGATCAGCCCATTTTTTTTGCCACTGCTGTAAAGAATTTAAAGCGACAGTGAAAACTGGGCCAAGCTGTCATCCCCAGGAAAAAGTCCACAGAGGATATGGTCCTTTACTGACACTTTATTTTCACCCTTGAAGCACTTTAGAGAGGATTTAATAGGCTGCTGAAGTGATGATATGGCAGGTTTTTTGACATTTCCACTGTTCATTGGTTATATGATCTCTGCACGTCCTGTTACAGATACCGGCTCTGCAGGTAGAAACTGAATGAGAGATGCGGTGACTGCTGGCTGCGGTCGTTATGCCTTTGTGTGTTTGTGTTTTGGTGTGCGCTAGGCCTTTTGGGATGGAGCTGGTCTGGGGCTTTTCCCTCTTTCTCTCTCAGGGATTAGTGTAGTCTCATTTATGGAGCAGCTAATCAGCAGGCTAGTCTTCTTATCCGTTCACATCCAGGACTCTTATAGGCAGTAGGATACATGTGTGCAGCACTTAGCTCTCAAGGACACAAACACAGCAGTTTCTCTCTCTTCTAAAGGGCATGTTATGGATTTATATTATTAATTTAATATTAATATTAAAGGGGTCATATGACATTGCTAAAAAGAACATTATGTTGTGTATTTGGTGTAATGCAATGTGTTTATGCGGTTTAAGGTTAAAAAAACACATTATTTTCCACATAATGTACATTATTGTTTCTCCTCTATGCCCCGCCTTTCTGAAACGCGTCGATTTTTACAAAGCTCATTGGTCTGAAAAGCGAGGTGTCCAGTGCGTTGGCCAGCTATCCAGTGCGTTGTGATTGGCTGAATACCTCACGCGTGTGACGGAAATGTTACGCCCCTTAACATACTGTGACGCCGTCTCCCGGCACAGCGAGACAAAACAAATAAAACCCATTACAAACGAGGCATTTGTTGCATCCAGTGGGGACATAATTACTGATTATAATGACGACTTCTGTGTTTTTACACGTTGCGTATCGCGCCGCGTAAACATAAAACCGAACTGCCCCACTTTATAGAACAGCCTTTGAGCACAGACCCATCTACTCTGCAGGTTCAGGAAACAGTCCTCCATAAAATGTCACACAGCGTCACACACTGCGGGCTAGAGTGAGCGGCGGCCGGCGGGCTGAGTGAGCGGAGGCCGGCGGGCTTGAGTACGGTGCGGACGGCGGATTCGACGAAGGAGCGGCCGGCGGGCTTGTGGCAACCACATGTGACGACCCCAGGCTGGACTCCGCTTCATTAAAGGGAAAAATGAAATCGCATCATATGACCCCTTTAATAAATATATTGAACATAATAAGAAATTATTATTATTGTTATTATTATAAAATAATGCATATTTTTGCATATTATGGGTTCATTTTGTAGACTAATGTAGTTTTATCTTGTCAAACAGTTGAAACTATAAAATAAAATTGGGTACTTGCAAAAAATTAATGTGAACTGATGCAAGAAACCTTGACTAACATTATAAGTGTGCATCAGGGAACAAAATAAAACTATGAAAGTAAAATAGCCTGTTTGAACTGGGTGATTTACTATTAGGTTTAAAGGGCTGTAGTTTCCTATTGACTGTTGAGTGTCATTTAAATAGTGGAAATATATCAGCTGATTCTTTTTCTTGAATGGACTGCAGAATGCTACTAGGCTACCATTTAGTGAAACCCTCAGGCTAATAATAGGTCTACTCATCTGTAGCGTTAGGAAACTCTCTCTTCTCATCTGTCTATTGTCCTGGTCCTGGCAGAGTATGAAGGGGATAATGTTGCAGTTTGTTTGTTGCCTTCTGTTTCCTTTTCGAAAATAACCATTTAATTTAATTATCACATTGCACAAAATGTAGTTGGACTACACTGATGTAGCTGATAGCTGGAATGAGTGTTGCTCAGATCTGTACATTTCCATGAATGTTTTCTGGGGGCTTGAGTGTGTCCTCATTAAAAAGTTAGCACAGGGTTTCTTTTACCAGCCTTAATCATCAGCACAGCTGCTTACAGTCATGGTCCAACGGCTTTGGTTCACTGTCTAATTTTGGAAACTGTACAATGTTCATCTTGCTCATACATTGCCAAATTTGGTTTTCAGTAAGGGGTTTTGAAAGAAACACCACAAAATACACAAAATCTATGAATAACAAAGCCAGCATAGTCTCACAGGAACCAGACTTTTGCTTGGCATAAAGTCTGTAGCACATTCAGAGCTTATTCTGGCCATGAATCACTGACTTCTGGACAACAGTGTGTCTTTTATGTGACCTCTGAAATTCATATTTATGCATGTGACAGACAGTTCAAGCCAAAACAACTTACAAGGCATGGAATATGTGAAATAACCTTTGTTATAGAAGTACTGCTAATGTTATTTATTTAGAAAGTTTGTAGGCTGTAGAGGAGCATTACGTCTACGCAGTATTACATATTAACTTACCAGCATGTAGCTTGTTTGCTGTGGCCTTTTTTACGTTTAGGTGCTGTAAAACAAGCTGCAGTTGGGATTTTTTTCTTTAGCTTGCAATAGTTTGTTTTTCGGTCTGAAAGGCAGATCAGCTACTTTGTGACCTGCTCTGTGATCGCAGTGGTAGACTGCCGGCACAGCATTTAAATCCAGATTACAGATTTATTGCAGATTATGAGACAATTACACATCAGGCTTTCCAGGATGTGGGCTGCTGCTGAAACCACATGTAGAGGCTTACAAACTAGCAATGACCTATCCTGTTGTTAGCCAGTAATATTTCCCTATAATGATGTTATCAGTGAACATTAGGGCTGGGTGTTGACACAGATTTCACTAATAGATTTGATTCTGATTCACAAGCTCTTGAGTTAGTTCTGATCTTGATTCAATGCTGAATCAATTAATTTGGATATCTATCCAGTACAGTACATGTAAATTGTACTTCTCTCTCAACTAATGCTGTAAACTGGTGCTTGAAACACTGTTAGAGCGATCACATGAGACATGATACATTTCAGTAAGTAACTCAGCCCATGTGAACATGAGTTATTCATTAAATCATAACCACAAGCTGTTATGATGACATATTTGTTCAACTCTTTTAGTACACCTAAATGGATGCTTGCCCCCCCCCAGCAAGCATCCATTAGTTTCCTCTGCTACTGTTACAGGCCATATTTTATTCTGTTCTTTGGCTCGTCGTTGTGTTGTGCTAGCCAAGACAACAGTGAAAGATGAGAAAGCAGCATCTTTTCACCATGCGTCAGGCAGACGGGTATCTTCAGTCTACTGTACTGCACCTACTCAGGTGCCATGTCCTCAAGCCCGATTGATTTTCCTCAGAGGAATTTGTCTAGCATTTGCATAAGTCATGCCGGCAAATATCCTATCCACCGTCGCTCTCTATTACTTTGACTGGTAAATCTGTGATTTCCATGAAGGGCTGCATTTCAGGGTGATTGCAAAAGACTACTGAATTATGACATTGTGAATTGTGAGTTTTGTTTTGAGTTTCCATCAAAGTGTGTGGTGGTTCTCTCACCTAATTCATTGTTTTTGGAAGTGTTTCTTGGTGTGTTGTTGTGTAATATTCCATAAAAAAAGACTCAAGACAGTTCACTCATATTGCTATGAATGGGAGCTGCAACATGCAGAGTGCTGCAGGGATGATGTATTTTTCTAGACAAAAACCATAATATCACTGATATATCACATATCTCTTCTAGTTCCATAATCCCTTTGCTTCTGGTGATTGTATTTAGGCTTCAAAATTAATAAAAGTTACGTTCATTTGTGAAGATAATCAAATGTATTAGACGATTAACAAAACTTTTATTGGTCACAGAGCTTATTTTCTGCAGTAATCCTAATCCAAAAGCCATTTGAAAAATCCTGTTGTGTCTATCACCAATAGCAAAAATGCTTTAAAAGCAGTTGATTTACCGATGCCATGTTTACAAAGTAGTTTGACAGAGACCAGTTAAAACACCCCTATTTAAAACAAACACACACACTTTAGCAACTGCACAACAATGCCACGTTAACATTTTGTGTCATAAAATGCAATATAAAATTGTTTGTTTATGCCTGTGTTGTTAAGTGTATATAATTATCTGCCTTGAAATCAGTGCATTAATTCTCTTTTTTTTTTTTTCCTCCCCGTGTGTTTACATTCTGCAGGAGGCAGATGGAGATGACAAGCTCACTTTTCCCGGTGAGGGGGAAGGAGAAATAGAGGGCGACTCCAAAGCGGACACACCAGACGTGCCACCTTCCACAGATAACACTCCACAGTGTCTCAACAAAGCCCTGGAGGGCTTGTCATCTAGGTACCCAATGATTCTGAGCTCATGAGCAACTCCCCAAACATTCAACATCGGCATTATGTACCTGTACGGATATTTAGGCCCCACATGGGCAACTATGAGTCTCTGATGCATCACAAACAGGTTGAACCTGTTTTCGCTGGGAAAATAGGAAACCTGTACACTAATATTCTCTAAAAACAACCCTTTCCAAACATGAAGGATTTTTTCGTAAAATCAGTGCCTTGAAAAAATTGATCTGGTTAATCTTTGAAAGCTGACACATAACCTTACAGCCAAGTGTATTGCTCAGCTATTCACATTTATAAGATATGATATGCAGATGAGGTTAGGGGTCGGTCAAAAGGGAAATGGTCCCTCAAAGAGATTAAACGGGATCTTTATTAGGAACAATCCTAATCCTTGTCAGTTTTGCTGTTCTGTTGGTGGGATTTGCTGCAGCCTCTTTAAAAGACCGCAGAGGCGCTGGTCCAATGACATGCCTGAATGCCGGCGCCTGGCTACCCACCACATTTTGTGATGATGCTGCACTTTTCCACTTTCCCTCCCCTTTCTCTTTCTCTCCATTGACAAATTCCCTCCCATTCTTTTCAGTGGCTTGCATGAGTTGTGGCACCTGCAAACAGTTTATTACACTGTGGGCCAGAAAACGAAGAAGAAGAATTCACATCTCTCACGGAGCCCCATTTATTACATTTATGGCACCATTGGCATAAATCTATTCCATCAGTTTTGTTCTCACAAAGCGCAGAATATCATAAATACATCTTGAATGTTCAGCATTGAAGCTTAAATCAAACTGAAATCATTTTGTTGTACAGTAGATCATTCTGCTCAAGCTATTTCATTCAGTTAAACACACCCACATTTCAACAGTGAGGAAATCACTGGGTCATCAGTTAAACATTTCACCTCTTTCACAGGCCTTCAGTACATTTCCAAGTTAACACAAACGGAAAATGTAACCTATTTGCCAGTACTTACAGTATAAATGTATTTTCATATACAAACTTTTTAACTGTCTGGACAGGTTTCTTGCAAAACTGTAGTTTTCTTTTTGTCTGCATTCAAATTGATTTTTTTTTTTATCTCAACAGGTGGAAGAACTGGTGGATAAGAGGCATATTGTCATTGACAATGATCATTGGCTTCTTTCTTATCATCTATTTGGGACCCATTATGCTTATATTTGTGGTAAGTGTGAGTACAAACCATATATGTACCGCGCAAACACAATTAACAAGACAAACACACTGACCCCTGGCTAGCCAGCGTTTGTGGTTACTATAGAGAGCATTTACAAAACATTTCATCTGTCCTCCTACAAACCCTTTGGGCCACATTCTGTCATTTAGCTGATTTTTAACCCTACCTGATTTGTCATAATATAAAAATACCACTAAAACTCCTACAGTGTTTTAACTCGATATTTGACAGAAATTTCAAAAGTGCTTTTTGAATGTGTTCAGCTCTTACAACATACTTTGTTTTTATTACAGCTTACTTTTTTATAATCTTTTTTTATAGGTTATGGGTGTTCAGATCAAGTGTTTTCATGAAATTATAACCATTGGCTACAGAGTTTACCGTTCCTATGAACTACCATGGTTTAGGACTCTTAGCTGGTAAGTGAAATGTTGTTTAGGTACCATTTAAAGCTTTCCTTTCACCCCTTATCTCTCCACCCTTCCCCCTACTCTCTGATTCATGTACTTTACATTCATGTACGGACAGTCAACTACAAACAAACACACACCCACTCTCTCACGTTTTAGCAGTTACCTTTTTTCATAGATAAAGTAGTGATTAACTGGACTTGAGCAAAGTGCACTTCCATGTTGGAACCTAGCATAAAGTACACCCCACCTGCAGGCTTTGTCCAAACAAAACAAGATGACAGCCAAGCATCTGAAAGGGGCCTTGTATTGTTTCTATCAAATACATTTCTTTCTCTCAAATCATCAGATCTTGACACAAATGCACCTTGTATTTCAGGTACTTCTTGATTTGTGTGAACTACTTCTTTTATGGTGAGACCGTGGCTGATTATTTCGGCGCACTCGTTCAAAGGGAGGAACCTTTGCAGTTCCTTGTGCGTTATCATCGGTTTATTTCTTTTGCACTGTATTTAGCAGGTGAGTGTAACTGACAACTCGCATTAAACACTCCACTGAAACTTTTATGACTAGGTCAGTAGCCCACAGTGCACACTTAGCTTTATAGCATAGTTTATATATTGTTTATAGATTATATATATCGAATGGTATTCAAGTTGATTGTATGCTTGGTCACATTGACATATGCTTTTATGCTGTAATTATATAAATATGCTGTTGCTCTGTGCCAACCAGCTATTCACCTGCAGCTATGCTACCGTTCAAAGGTTTTTTTATTTAGCAAGCACACATACCTTGACCAAAAGTGACAGTAAAGACTTTATAATAGGGATGCACCGATACTGGTATCGGTATCGGGCCCGATACTGGTGTCCTGTACTCGTACTCGATAAAGATTATGTACCATAGAGCAAAAAAATGAACGGTGAAAGTTACAAAAACATGTAAAATACATTTTAATGGGCATAATTAAGTGTGAAAATAAAAGGATATACAGTCAAACCAAAAATTATTCAGAGACCAGATATAATTTTTATATTTTTTTACTAGTGGGTGCAGGACACTATAGATAATTTATGTAAGTGAGGATAGCAAAATAAAGTAAACTGTGACAAATTATACCCAACAATTCTTCATACAGTGGACTACCAGTAAAACTGATACAAATTTGGGACCAAAAATTATTCAGACCGAGTCTGGGAAAAAAAATTGAAGTTGAGGTTTGCACGAAGCTGGATAACAGCATGCCCAGGAGACTACAGGCTGTCATTGAGGCTAAGGGCTGCCCGACTAAGTATTGATAGTTGTGTAAATACTGTCATACTAACAGCTGTCTCAATTATTTTTGGTTGATTGTAATCCATAGCATACCTTTCTATCAAAATTATCTAACATTATCAAGCTGAATTTGTTCTGACACAGTTTAACTCTTGAGTTCTTGTCATATTGTATTACCATTTTCTAAACTATAGCGAATAAACTGTGATAATGGGAGAAATGTTGAAGGTGTCTAAATAAATTTTGAGTGGTATCGGTGCATCCCTACTTTATAATGTTACAAATAATTTCTATTTCAAATAAATACTGTTCTTCTGAACATTCTTTTCATTAATCCTGAAATAAATGTACCAAGTTGTTTAACTGTGATAATAATAAGAAATATTTCTCGGGCACCAAATCGGCATATTAGAATGATTTCTGAAGAATCATGCGACCCTGAAGACTGGAGTAAACAGCTTAGCTGTTTTCAATTAAAATATATTTTGGCAGTATTCATTTTAATAATATTCCACAATATTGCTGATTTACTGTATTTTTAATTTAAGAAATGCAGCCTTGGTGATCATAAGGCACTTTAAAAAACATTCAAAAATCTTGCCAACCCCAGAATTTTGAATTGTAGCATACATATAGCACAACAGTGTTGGGCAAGTTACTCTGAAAATGTAATCAAATTACTGATTACTGATGACTCCTTTTAAAAGTAATCATGTTACTGTTCTGATTACTTTATTTCAAAAGTAATTAGTTACATTACTAGTTACGTTACTTTTTTTCCTCCATGAAATTGATGAAATCCCAGCATACATGCTTAATCAAGCATCAACATTCACAGAACACTGTTATTTTTAACTAAAGCAAGCGGCTGCTGCGTGCATGGTTTGGCATGGAAGAATGCCAGGAAAGAGCGCTGCATTTATAATCTCTAAAATACATCTCAGTTCATCGCAATCTCACAAATCTCTGTTATAACACAATAAATATATGCATAATGAATCTTTCATAATGTCTAGAATTCGTGTGTTATAATGAGAGGATTCGTGAGCACGCAAATTTCAGCACTGCATTGCTCAACGCTGCAAACACGTGTTATAGCCTAAATAGAAACTCTGTATACGCTTGCATCTGTTAATCGTTTATATTTTATATTAGTTCATGTAGCTTTTGTGCAAGAGATGAATAACAATTTATTTGTTTTAGATATTGTATGTTTAGATATTTCTATTTTGCGGGAGTCCCGTGAATAATTTTATTCTCCCGCATCCCGCACACACACGAGTGTTTACCCGCCCGCACCAGCACTCGCCCATGTTGTCCCGCGCCACACTCTGTTGCGTCGGGTCTCACGGGAGCAGGTCTCTAATCCACTGGCACTTGACTCAGACAGTGCATGTGCTACATCCTTTTTACAATCTCTAGATTATAAAACACTGCATTCTGTCAGCAATGTAACGCGGCAGTAACGTATAGAGACCTCAGCTTGTAACTATACTCTTAATTACTATTTTGTTAAATTACTCTGTTACTAAAAAAGTAATCAAATTACAGTAACGCGTTACTAAGTAATGCGTTACTGCCCAACACTGTAGCACAACCTTGAGTGTCAAAAATGTTTAGAGTGAAAAGTTGAATAAACAAATAAACATGAATTTTATAATGTTTTAATATTTGTGTTGCCCTTTTGCTTTAATGACAGCATCACTCAAACTGCATGAACTTCACAGATTTGTATAAATCTCATTATCTCATGAGTGCGGAGCAGCTCAGGGCCATGACAGAGATGCTGCTGCAAAAGTAGATGTACAGTAGATTTGTGTTCATGTACCTCTGCCTCTGTTATGGCCATAAATGCACAGCATGCTGGCAACTGTTGCAGTTATTTCTTCTCACTAAACTTTGCTCTCTCTCCAGCACAGCTTAATGGTCGTCATCATAGAGAATATATAAATCAGAATTTACAGTATAAGACATAACCCAGTGTGTACAAAGAATGTACAAAAACAAAATAACCTATAATGATGTGTGCTGCTGTCATAACAGTGATATGGAAGCTTTCCAAAACAAAAATGGATAAACAAATGCTTGTCTGCTGTCTTTCAAATACATTTCTTTAAATGGAAATCAGAATGATACAGTAAACAGTGATAAGGTTTATTAATTCTTTCTTATATTGTAGGAAATTAACCGCATGTTATTTGCTTTTTACAGGTTTCTGCATGTTTGTACTGAGTTTAGTGAAGAAACATTACCGCCTGCAGTTTTATATGGTGTGTATCAGTCATTTATATGCCAGCCAGAACTAAACTGTCCATTTCATTCACAGTCATGTGCATATCATGTGTTGGGCCTTTGGATACTCAGTAGTCCCATGTCATAATATCACATTTAATGTTATATTTCTGTATAATGAGTTCACATTTAGAAACACTGGGCATTGTGAAAGTGTTGCAAATAATGTTTTATATGAGTCATTGCATGCCATATATTAACAGTGTATGCAAGGCAGCGCTTTTATTACTTTTATTCTGGTCTAGTGCTGAAATGCGGGTTTCATGATCTTTTAGCATACAGACTTCATTCAAATTTTGCAATGTAGATAATTTTAGTATTAAGTGTCCTTTTTAAAAAAAATTATACACAACAACGTTCACACATTCGAAGTCAGTGCAATTTTTCAATGTTTTTGAAAGTCTCGTATGCTCACCAAAGCTGCATTAATTTGATCAGATATACAGTAAAAACAGTAATATTGTGAAATATTATTACAATTAAAAAAAACTGTTTTCTATTTTAATATATTTTAAAATGTAATTTATTCCTGTAATGGCAAAGCTGGGTTTTCAGCAGCCATTACTGAAAACAGTCATAAGTGCTTAATATTTTTGTTGAAACAGTGATACATTTTTTCAAAAGAACTGCATATCAATTTGAAATGGAAATCATTTGTAACATTAAATAAAATTTCTGTCACTTTTCATCAATTTAATGCATCTTTGCTGAAGAAAAGTACTCATTTTAGAATTTTCACCATTCAGAATGCAATGGAAATGATGATGCCCTCAATTAGTGTCATGACAACAGCAATGGTGGCTCTGATGCTGCTTTTTATTGGGAAAACCCCCAAACCTAAATTCAAGCTGTTGCCTTGCTAGCACTGATATTTCCTTCAAGAAATGCAAACTTAGTTTTGATGTAAATTGTTGGTTATTTATTAACCAAAGTGTTGAGCTGTTGGGTTGAGTCCAGCTACAGTGGTTCAGAATCTCTAATAATAGCCTTGAACTGTGACTTACTTCACTTCAACCATTGATGTCAGCAAAATGTCATTTTCTTTGTGAGTGTGGTCACACCCATTCCACATGAACATAAAAACTGCCAAATGAAACACTCAGCAGCCAAATACGTTTTGTTCCAGCTAAGTTTGCTTGAGCATTTAGTAGTCAAAACATTTAGAATGTTTATGTCTCTGTTTAATTTTATAGTCTTAGTACAGACTTCTGAATTAACATTTGAGAAAAAAAAGAAATTTTTTCAACAAAAATGAATCACGCTATGATTTTGTTTGTTTGGATATGTGCCATAACTCGCTTTGCATTATCATTGTTTTAGTGAGTAGATAACATTTCAACCATTCACTCGATGTTTGTGTGTGTCTGTGTGGATGGCCATTTTGTGCGTGTGTGTGTGTGTGTGTTTGTTTGTGCTTGCCATTCCAGTTTGCTTGGACCCATGTGACCTTGTTGATTGTGGTGACTCAGTCACATCTGGTTATTCAGAACCTGTTTGAGGGAATGATCTGGTAAGCCCACCTGACCTGACAGACCTGTCTGAGGTTTCACCTCACTCCTACTCGAGTTTCTCATGCTGCATTCCTGTGCTTCCTGATGTTCCACATGCTAACATGATAACTTGCTGCTCAAGGGAGAGCAGAAACACTCAGTTTTTAGTTAAATTTATTCAAATGTACATTTTAATTCTCTAAAATAATTCACTAATGTAAATGAAGCTAATTGGAACTTTCTTCTCTCCCGTTGTTCTTTATGTGTTGTTGTTCACTGCAATTTCTTCTCTCCTACAGTATGTGTTTGTAAAATAAAACTGTAATTTGTTCTCTAGGTTTATTGTTCCCATCTCTATTGTGATCTGTAATGACATCATGGCCTACCTATTTGGCTTCTTTTTTGGAAGAACTCCACTGATTAAGGTGAACCTGTGATATTTGCATGGTAGATGCTTTCTCACAGCACTAAACATTTCTGATAAACCTTCTCCGTCTCTTCATTTTCTGAACTAATGAGTACATTTCCATCATTTAATGCATTGGGGATGAAAATGATCTTATCTCAAACCTCTTTGCTCTCTCTTCCAGCTCTCCCCAAAGAAGACCTGGGAAGGATTCATTGGGGGATTCTTTGCAACAGTGGTCTTGAGTTTCTTTGTAAGCCACCATTAGACCTTCAAGGATCCTTCTTTTTCAGGATTTCTAAATTGCCTAAAATGTGTGGCTTTGGGCATCCTATACACAGTCTTCATACATTATATGTACATGTACTTGCATTCCTTTGACCGTTGTCTGTAGATCCCCCTTCGTCATACACCTCGATTGGTCGATTATGTACAATGCCTATTGACGCTATTGGTCAAACTACTTTTCAGTGTTTTCCTTCAGCAAGTATGAAAACTATGTGAAAACATAGCCATTTTAGGCAATTTAGAAATCTTAGCCAGGACATGTTGTATGCTCACCCTACCTTCAAGCAACACCAACAACTGTTATATTACCCCATAACCCTCGTGGTATTGTGTGACAACTAAAACCTAATGTCTCCCTCCTATTCCAGTATGCGTACCTGCTATCCCAGTACCAGTACTTTGTTTGTCCAGTGGAATACAACAGTGAGACAAACCGCTTTGCAGTGGAGTGTGAGCCCACAAATCTGTTCATGATTCAGGAATACACACTTCCTGCAGTGGTGCAGAATGCAGTTAGATGGGTGAGTACAGGACAGGCCAAAACTACATGCTGTAACCTAAGAGATTGTGGCCTAATAAACCTCTGCTAAATATATAATAATCGAGAGGGTTGTTTTATTCCTGAATCCTTGGAAATGATAACTGTTTTGTAACAATAATGTTTCTTTATGTAGTATTAGCTAATAATTATGTCTACGTCTTTCTTGTGTCTGCAGAAAACGGTGAACCTTTACCCATTTCAGATCCACAGTATTGCGCTCTCTTCGTTCGCCTCTCTGATCGGACCATTTGGTGGATTCTTTGCCAGTGGCTTCAAACGAGCTTTCAAGATTAAAGTTGGTTCACTTTCAGCAGAAGTCACACATAAACCCTTGAATTTGTATCTTATGGTCTACTTTGAGTGACCGTTACACTGTGAGCTTGTGATTTTTTTTTGTATTTTTTTTGTAGGACTTTGCAGACACCATTCCTGGTCATGGTGGAATAATGGATCGTTTTGACTGTCAGTATCTGATGGCAACGTTCGTTCATGTTTACATAGCAAGTTTTATCAGGTGACCTCTTAACTTATTTGGTTACACTTCATCCTTTCGAAAAAAATATTACCAATCAAAATCGATAAAATAGTCTCTACTAAAATAAATTAAAATAATTATTTAAATTAGAATTAGGCACAGGATCCAAAATGTATTTATTTATTTTATTTATTTATTTAGTCATTTATTAGACGCTTTTATCCAAAGCGACTTACAAATGAGGACAACAGAAGCAACAGAAGCAAGTATTAAAACTAAAAGCTAAAACTTTATAAATACTACCTATACACATTTTAAAAATAAAGAGATTAAATAAAAATGACAAATGCATACAACTAAATTTCAAAATTTAACATATAACTGAAAAACAAAAAATAAAGCTAAACACAATTCAAAATATTAAAGAACAAAAGGTATAAGAGTATAATAATGATTCTAACATAACACTAAGCCAAACATAGAATTAAAATTAAAAGACTAAGTGTGAAATGTGTGTAAACATTGGCTTTGGCCAATAAATCAATTAGATTTACTCATCAGTAGGCTGTAACTTTATAATTACCTTCAACATGGTTTAAGTCAAACTTTGACTGATAGTCTGACCCTTCCTAATTTAGGTGACACAAGCGACACCATTCAAATCAAGGAAATCTCCTGAGACTCGTGCATCTTCTACTAAATAATCCCATTGACATAAAGACAAATGTATTTGAAATGCTCCATTAATTTAGTCACTTTGACCCACAAATGTAATATTTAAAAAATGTTAATATGTAAATTATTACATTTAAAAAGACAAGTTTAAACCAGCATTGACATTATCATGTCTTGGCGGTGCTTTAGAGGGGCAATTACATGTAAACAAACAGAATTGGTATTATTACTAGTGCTGTCAAGCGATTAATCGTGATTAATCGCATCCAAAATAAAAGTTAATATACAAATATAGCATATTTTTCTTAAATATATACATGCATGTGTGTGTATTTATATATACATAATAAATATATACAGTACA